TATGACCTCATTTTTTTCTCTTCTGGTCACTCCTGTAGCCCCTTTCAGCAATTCTGGTTTATTCACCACCTTAAATATAACAAATAAAGTGCTGATACATTTGGCCAAAGATGTGCAACAAGTGATTTCATGAATTATAGCAGTGAATTGTTTAATGTTCTTCAGCCTAACAACTTGAGTCACAGAATTCAACGAGACACACACGTTAACGGACCTGCAGATCCTCCCAGCATAGACTGCCAGTAGAATGAATTAAGAGAGAATAAAACCATCTGATGATAATGCTGCAGTTGAAACAGTATGATAGGGTCAGATGCAGACTTTGGGCATTCATTATCACCGTCCTGTCCTGCTATTTTATGTTACATTCGGCTTGCAGTAAGCCCTACATTATGTTGATGTATTCCAGTTGACCTGCAACAGGCCACCTAACTTCAATTAAATCAGTGCTTCTCAACCTTCTTATAGGGGTCACCTAAGACCATCGGAAACACATATTCACTGAAGTTATGAAGTAGCAACAAAAATAATTTTATGGTTGGGGGGTCACAACATGAGGAACTGTATTAAAGGGTCATGGTATTAGTGAGGTAAAGAACCACTGATTTAAATCTGAATATTCCTAGCCGGTTACCTCTTAGTTTCCACTGCTATCTGGGTTGATTTTGTTGCTTGCATTATAGTTCTAATATTTTGGAAATCCCATTCAGTTTGTGCATCATTATTACCCGCCACACAGCTTCTAATGTGAGGCAGGTATGTGGAATGTTGAAGGTATGGTGAATTCAACATTCCTGCCTCACATTAGGAGCTGTGCGATCACAGTGGATAACGCATTTACCGGTCAAGTAATTCTGAATTGCTCTGTGTCTTAAAGTTGGTGAATGGGTTTAACAATTTCATGTGTTTCAGCTTTCTGAGCCCTTCAGGTTCATTGCTGCAGATATCACCCACCTCCATTCATCTCTCTGGTTGGCCTTCTTCCTCCAGTTGGTGACACTCAAGTGTTTCTAGATCTGTCTAGATATTATCTCTCCATCGAAATGGATTAAACACAAATGTTAACAACAATGGTCCTGAAATTCCATGTTATCATTGTGGAAGACTTTTCTTGACACGGGCGGGTCTTGCTAATCACACTCACCATCGCCATGGGTTGTGAGTCTCATGCCTCCTCATAGCGCAATATAAAACTAGTCTGAAAAGACAGGAAGGTGCTAATCTAGGTGGTGAGCAATGCTAAGCCATCCTTCACCGGAGATCGCACAACTCATTTTGTTGTTGTTGATTCAAATCATATTTCAGTAAAAGCTTTGTTTAAAAATTGTTACTATATGGTGGCTTAGCCAACCCTCCTCAAAACAGGCAGAAGGTTTTCTGGTAGCTGAGGTGAACGGTATGGAACTGAACACATCATACATGTTACAGCTGCCACATAATCTAGCCTCACATTCCCTAGTGGCATGGAAACAGAGACATCTGCTGCTCTTTCTTTAATCTGGTAATACAATTCGGAGGAGCAGATGGATCACCACAGTCTGGTGGGATTGATGCAGTTGGGGGTGACGAGAGGCAAGACAGACGTTTAATCAGAATGCTACTGGCACCATTTTGTATCGGAACTCTTCTCTGGCTGCTGAAGATGGGGACGGAGCACTTTTGTGGAATTCCCCGAGTGCTGTGATGTCGGTTCTTGAATCAAATCAAATCAATCTTGTAATAATCCCCAAACAATGGGCTAAATAAATAAAGAATTTAAAAAGACAATTAAAATCCGCAACAGAAAAGACATACGTAAAATGTTTCAACCAGTCTTTACCAACAGACAGAACAACAAGAATGTTTTATATGTGCACAAATAAAACCATCCAAGAGTAAGGAACTGACACGACAAAAAAAAATAATGAGTTTTGGTAATTAAAATGTGGAAAGCGGGAATGAGAACAGCAATGAAGAACATGAACAAAATCCAGCATGCGTGCACATACATACATCTCTATCGATTAAAGAATGCATAACATTGACCCCTGCTGGGTAAATGTTCAGCATTTCTTATTTAATATATAAACATGTATGTGTGTGCACTCACATGACACATACACACCCTCACATTTTTTTTTTCATTACCATTTTCCACATTTCCATTTCCTTTATTATTTTTTTTCTCATGTTGATTACTTTTTCGTGGAATCATTTTATTTTATGTCTGCAGTCAAGAATTATCATGATTTTCTTCACTAATGAAGATTCTTGTCAAAACATTTGCTTGTTATCTGTGCCTTTGCTTTCAGCCAGCATATCTGCATTTTAGTTCATAAAGCCATTAGCTGGATCGGCTGGACAGTGGTAAAATGTTATTTCCTTCACTCAAGGGTATTATCCATAGTTAAGTAATTAAACCTTTTGTGTTGGCATAAACAGACTGCATGGCTAAGCAGACAAACATTTCCTAAAGGAAACTCCTAGGAATCGTTGCTGGGGCTACAGAGTTTGTGCACTGTGCAAAGCTCTAGGCAAATGGTTTGTTCGCTGTTCTGCCGGGAAAGACTGAGCCATGTGTGATATAACCCATGAAGTCGATTTTCTCACATTTAAATCCTTTACTTCACCAATGCCTGACTGAACAATATTTACTGTTTCTATGATTTTATCCTATCAAAGATGTCAAAATTTATGTATCATGGCATATCCAATTCATTAATTACCATTGTCACAAAAACAACTTAAAAGAATAAAGTTAGGAGGGAAAACAAAACCCATAGACAGATATAATAGATCATTACATTTTCAGCATCAAGACGCAGCAGGCTATCTAATGTGACAAAATGAAACAAACAAAAATTTTTCTGACATGACATAAACAAGACCAATACAAATATAAAACAAAAAATAAACTGACTACGGCAGTAAAGACAATATTTTAAAAGTGACTGGATCATTACCACTACAAACATTTTCCCCCCTTAAGGTTATCTCTCTCTCCAAACAGAGGCTAGTCACTAACATAAGTGATTTAAAAAAAAAAAAAACACACACTGTCATCACATAACAGATCCTTTGCAGAATGTCGCTCTTATCAGTCTGACTGAAAGAAACTCTGGTCTCTCAACAGCTCTCCCCACCTTATGCCCCTTTTAATTCCCAAGATGTATGTCACTTATATCATGTGCCCATCTTCATGATAGTCAGCCCCTGCTGCTCTTTCCTGGCACCATGTCTTCTGCAATTATTTTTGTCCAATCTGCCGTGGTTCTTGATATGTCCAAAATATTTGACTAACTCTGTAGCTCCAGCAATAAACTCAGTGATCTCCATAATATCTGTACATGCAGCCCAACGTCAGTTAAAAACCATCAGAAGGTGAGGCAGTAATTTAGGATCTTCACAACGGAGATTCCTATCATCATCATCAACCGCCTTGCTGACAGGTGTGGGTGATCATGTCTCTCCACAATATGCGAACTTCAACATCATGTATCAGTCCATGCACTGACACCTTTTCCAGCGTGTGGTGTTCTTTTTGGCTGTCCAAGGAATTCTAAGGGGACAACACCCCCTCCCGCAAATAGTGTTCAAGAAAATATTATCTTGCATCAATTTTAACATGGCTTCAGAGTCATTTTGGTCAGAAACTATTTTTCTTAGTTAGCAAGCACACTCTCGCTTTAATGCCAGAATTGTTTCAGAGCTTTAACCCCCCCCCCCCATCAGGCACACAGTAAAAAGGTTAAATTAAAGAACCCCTTTCTACCCCAAGTGCTATATTTTATATACCTATCGGCACTAGGTGGGTGATGTAGTCAACATCAAGTAGCTGCCTTTACTTCCCATGATTTTTACCTAGTGCCTATCAAAGGCTGTGTCGACCTAGGAGCCAAGGTAATATTTAAAAAAAACTCCACCGGGACTTTAACCCACAACTGTTGGACATGCGCGCGTGCGTTTAGCCGCTGCAGACGGCTCTCCAGAAAGAAGGAAAGCCAGGTTTAAAAAAATTCTGCACCAATAGCTACACTAGGTATTTTGTACCCACGCATATTTTAGACCAAGTTACATTTAATGAGTGATGGGACCAAAATCACACTGTACTTCCTATAAAATGTCCTCACATTTTTAGGCGGCATTATCTACAATTTTGGCCAATGGTAACACCCACTTTATGGGGAATTAAAAATTATGACTATCTGGCTAACATGGAAAAGCCACTGAGCTTTAAAAAAATGCTAGCTATTAATATACAAAAAAAGCAGAGCGAAGAAAAAAAAAGTACCCAGAGTCAAGGTTTCAGCTTAACTGCAAAAGGGTCATTTTATAATTGCTCCATTCCTGTCACAGGGGGAACCCCCACAAAAAGCCCTTTGCTACCCCATTGAAGATAGTGAACAGTCTATTTGTTGTGCAAAATTCAGAAGCATGCACATGAAGTAAATGTATAAGATAGACCACTAGAGGTGCCAGCACTAACAGTCTGCCAACACAACTGCAGTTTGCCACTATAGAAACAGTCAGTACACCTGCCACAATATTGCATAAGGACACTGCCAGCATGAATGCAGACCCACCAACCACGATTTCCTGAAAACCTCATCACACACTGATGTGGGTACTAATGAAAGGCATTGCACATGAACTTCAAAGCTCTTAGTGCTGCAAAGACCACTCAACTCAGCAGCTGTGGCAACAAAACAATAACCTTCAGTCAGTATGCGGAAACTGCTTCAGCAAACCGTGCCTAAAAGAATCAATATAAATGCAGTTTTTATGTTTAGCAGGGCATCTAACTAGATAACCGTGCTAATGAGGCTCCTCTCCCCCCAAAAAACTGCCAGCCATAAATTTATCCAGAGAGAAACAAAACCAGTGAACAGTTTTTATGGTTTGCAGGAAATCTAGCTAGCCAATGCATTAACAAGGTTCCAGAAAAAAAATATGTCAGTTATTAAAGAAGAACAAAAATATTGCTAGTCATGAAAAACTAAACAATATGAAAGAAACCATACCGGTGAATGTAGTTTTCACGGTTAGCAGGCAGATCGTAGTTGATGACCAGAGACACCTGCTGGACATCTATCCCTCGAGCCAACAAATCAGTGGTGATAAGGACACGGCTGGAGCCGGAACGAAACTCTCTCATGATGAGGTCTCGCTCGTTTTGGTTCATGTCTCCATGCTGAGGATTGAAGATTAAAAACAGCATTACGCATCTTGGAATTAAATCAAAATGTGTGCCGTTTCCACAATGAAGGTCGGCTACAGCATACCACTGCTGAATGAGTAAAGGATCTTCTTCCATGCCTTCACTTATATTGGGCATACAGAGCTAGATCTAAATTTTATAGACCGAGATAGGCTTTCAGTGGGTGATATGGCTGGTCGATCCGGCTACATTCACTTTCTAGGATTTTACCTGGTACCCATTTAAGGCCGGGTCGACCTGGGAGCCAAGGTCAGGTTTAAAATACCATTAATGCATCTAGGAATTAAATTCTTTAACATTTCCACAATGGAGGCTGGCTACAGTGTATTACTGCTGCCTTAGCATTATTAACTTGTTATTCAGGAACGTTGCGCTAGTTTTGGTTCCTGTCTTCGTGTTACAGTTGTGATTAAAATCACCATCATTCATGCATACTGGATTGATATTAAAATGTGTGCTATTTCGGCAATGAACTTTCGCTAGTGTACCACCGCTTTATTTTGGAATGCTACTGTTATTTAATTATACTTTTGTTTAGAGAAAATCAGCTCAATCTAGTTCACATTTTTTCCTGATACATTTTTGGGATCAAAACACATCACACACACACACACAACCCTCACGCAGTGAAATACTATTACAGCAGAAGTAATGATTCAGGATTGCCAGTGTTTTTCAGGGGCAAACAAGAGAAATAAAGAAAAGTAACACCCCCAAAAAAATTATCACCTAAGAAGCACAAATGCAGAAATCCATGATACTGGGCTACAACCAGAGACGACAAAAGAAAGAAGAGGAAGAAGGACACAGCAAAATAATTTAACAAGAAAAGATTATGTGTCGTCTCCACAATAAAGAATGACTATAGTGCAGCCACCGCCGTCTTTGGGAATATCAGACTGTGAGGTCCCAATACCTTCCACAGTGTGAACTCTTAACTAGTGTCTGGAAACTACACCAGTGGTTTAAAAATACAAATAGACTGTCCAACGCAGAAATGTTACCAAGCAGCCCATAAAATGTTGACCGCATTAACTAAACTCAAAGCTACAATTTCTTCTTCTTCTGTTCTATCAATCCTCATCGCGCCCAGGGGCACATAAGGCAGAGACAAACCGTTGCCACTTAATTCGATCCTGAGCCATTCTCTCTACCTCTAGTTTTGTCCTTCGTATAGCCTTGAGTTTAGCCTCAAAAGTTGCCTTCAAGTGCCTGCCTCTACCTCACTGTCCTGTGGTGTCATTGCATTGCCTGCCTCGGCCGTCTCTCTCTCTCTTCACGTGTCCAATCCACCTCTATCTTCATTTTTTGATTTCGAAATTTACATCTTTATAAGTCTGTCATTTGTATTCATCTAGAATTGCTGATTTTATCTTCCCATGTGAACCCCAACAATCTTCTAAGAAGTCTTCCTTCAAACATTCTTGTGTTCACCAGATGTAAACTTTGGCTTAATCTTCTCGTTGTCTATCCACTTCTGGACTCTGGCCTTATTCCAGAACTTGAGTTTTGTTTGCAGATTTAGCTTATTTATATGCAGAACTTTTGGTTCTCCACCTCTCAGGCAGATGCATTCAGACGTTGAAAGAAACCCTTATTCCCCCCCCCCCAACATGGGGCGAGACATAATTTAACAGGAATAATTATAATAATTTTCTTTGCTTGTTCCGGGACTTGAGTTGTGTGTGCACATTAATTTTTCAGATGTGGGTTATTTGTGTGAACACTGCTGGATCCTTGCTTCATAGGCATAAGTACTCAGACTTAGAATGAAACATCAATCCCCACCTGCGTTGGCCAGGCTCCCAGTTGGGAACCTGTTTTCAGAGGTGCACACAGATCTTAGCCAGTATGAGCCCTGGTCCTCTGGTGCATCACCACGTGTGGTTCAGCACCTCTGCATCCTGGCTTGGCAACTTGACATGGTAGTGACAAGAACACAAACCTAATGCATAGTTCTAGTGATTATGTAAGCTATAGACCGCAACCATCAAAGCTTTTTGGTTTGGCTCATGATAAAGATGGGATGAAAAATGAGGCGGCTCTTACAAACAAACTTGTTGAAAACTTACCATGGCAGACACAGTAAAGTCTCTGGAGCTCATCTTCTCTGTCAACCAATCCACCTTCCTGCGGGTGTTACAGAAGATGACAGCTTGTGTGATGGTCAGCGTCTCGTACAGATCACACAGGGTGTCCAGTTTCCACTCCTAAAACAGTTGTCAAAATCATGTGAATTTTTTTTTTAAAACTAAACATATTTATTCACTTATATGAAGAGCAGCTAGGCGAACGGTAAAGCACACAGGGCTTCTAGGTAGGCAGACCCAGGTTTGAATCCTTGGCAAGGCTGGGGATCATCATTTGTTGTCCATATTTATACAATTTAAATATTGGAGTTTCAGTGCCAAGAAGACAGAGCCTTCAAGAAGGGATTCTCTTACAAACACACACAAAATAGTCTTTAATTACCATATACAAAACTATATATATTTGTGTAGGAAAGTAAATGAACTAACACAATCTTTATGAATCACACTGACATCTCAACAATTATTCACATTAGCTTTTGAATTTGCATATTTGTGCATGCATTTTTTTTTAATTACTTGGGACAAACATGACAAAATGGAACAATCTGGATTAAATTTTCAGATAAATGAAGCCTGAATGTCTAAACACATGTTTTGGGAAGCAAGGCCCATGTAGGTCCCCAGACATCTCTGGCACATGATTCTACTCCTTTTCATGCCTCCTACTATATTTTGGTTGTTATGACGCAAGTCATTTTCACCATTGCTAGGCACATGTACCCCCCCCCCCCCCCAAATTGATGTAAAATTCTAGTACGCAACACACTTTCAAGAAAGCTGCCACTGAACAGCCCACATGTGCAAGAAATGGGAAAAGTAATCTGATTAGCTAGTATGAAGACCAGCCAGCTAATCTCAAGGCTTATATTACCTGGGATGACAGATCTTTTTGACTATTTTGCTGTCCTGAAAGGGTTTAACTGAGAATGTGTACGTCTCACAGCTGTGCAGAAAAGAGAAAGTATAGCAGACAGATCAATTTAAGCATATTTTTATTAGGGTATCTCATCAGAATACAATCACTGACCTCTCTCTCCACCTGGACATAGAACTGTCGAATGCCCTCCAGGGTCAGCTCTTCTTTCTTGACAAGAATCCTCACAGGATCACGCATAAAGCGCTGGGTGACCTCTAGCACATCAGATGGCATGGTGGCAGACAGAAGGATCACCTGGTACACAAACAAAAGTTAACACAGCTGCCAAATGTCCTTAATACTGTATCACGTAAGTACTGACAGGTCAAGGACATATGTCACTTATAGTGAATTATGTGACAAGTGTCAAATGACACACAGCAGCTGATAAAAGACCAAATAGGTGCAAAATGTCACTTATACTATATCTTGTGTTGAAAAGTATCAAATGACATATAGCAGCTGATAAATAATGATAACATAGGTGCTAAACTTAACTTATACTGTATCAATGCTAACACGTATCAGCTGATACACATAACTTCAGTATTCGGAGCCCTGTGGTTCACGGCTACACCTGCTTTCACATTCTCTCTCCCATTCAACTCTTCTCTGTATGCATTCTGTCTATGCTTCAACAATTGCGGTCAGCCATCATGATGTCAGAAGACAGATTAGGAATTTTTCTGTTGCTTCTCACTATCCATTCTCCTTCAAAGTTGGAGTGCATCTGCCTGAGACACAAGGAAACAACAGACTGCACAAACGTAAACCAGATTTAAAAAACGAATGTAAACATAAAAGTCAAGTCTTGGAACAAAGATTTAAGTCTAGAAATGAACAACCAGCCACAAAAACAAAACTGATAAGTCAAAATGTCACATTTAGTGACAGGATGAGCCATTTTTAGATTGTAATTATAATTTTTTAACTTGTCAAATCCCAAAACTTGCAAATCCGGTCGTTCCCCCCCCCCCCCCAAACCAATTTTTAAAAAAAACTATCTGCAACAGTTTATTTTAATGGGGTGTCACTTTTCTTATATGTTCTCCTCCCCTTTTCTTTTCACACTTCCTAATCTTCTTTTTCTGCATTTGCTCTTAACATTGCTGCCGCAAGATCTGAACCATTTGTCCTGACACATCTGACTGCAACAAACCCTTAATTAATTACAATTTATGACATGCTTGTTTAGGGGCAGTGGGGTCCATCATCTCTTCACCTCTGACAACAACAGGTCATGGAACATACACACAGACACCTCTGGCTGGGTCTAGTATCCTGGATTTGCTAGCTATGTTATTTTTTTTCCCTGCATAAAACAAATGTGTAACACATGGCCAAATTCTCTATGGTTAGGAATAGGCTGGTAAGGTTTCCTTAATTCAAAAGACTTCTAACCCAATGCCCAAAGGGTTTTAAAAAATCTTTAAATAACAAAGATGCTGATTGAAGGGTTTGTCTCCTCCAAGCTGAGATTAAAGAATCTTAATCTGGATAGCAGACCAACAAGACTTATCCCAGATACCTTGTTCAGCCTCCAGAGAAGTTAGAACCAGGGCAACTACAACGGCCAAAACTGCAGCCCTATGGAGGTAACAGCATTAAAAACACACATACTTTCACACATACAAAAAAAAAAAAACAGGTGTCTGCCTTTGAGACAATCAAAAGCTAACATATCCTACCAACATTATAAATTAACATTTCAAATATAAATACCTGAATATCCGATGGCATGAACCGGAAAACATCATAGATCTGATCTTTAAAACCACGAGACAACATCTCATCAGCTTCATCAAGAACAAACATCTTGATGTCTTTGGTATTAAGAGCCCTGCGGTTGATCATATCATGCACACGGCCTGGTGTGCCAACAACCACGTGGGCACCACTTTCCAGCTTGCGCATGTCTTCGCGCACCAGGGTACCCCCGATACAGGCATGGCACTGAGCTCCAAGATAGTCACCCAGAGCAAGCACCACCTTTTGGATCTGCATGGAATCAAAGTGCAATATGTGAAAACAGGAAAACTCACAATGGAACAATCAGGAAGCATTATGTATTGCTCATGCCCTGGCTGGCATTGGGCAAAGTAGGGTGTGGTCTTGTGCCACAGGACCGCTACGGTAGCCATAAAGGCCATTCTTGGCCACCCCGAATAGTGCTGGTCAATGGGGATCTGGTGAAGTTGCGACAGGCCTAGTAAGCAGGCAACAGATTTACTACCCAACAAATACAATGAGATTTTTTTAAATATTTAGAAACCAAGAGTTGTAAACTCAGTGTGTGTGAGACATAAAATTACAAGCAAGTGCTAAAATAAGGAAACAACAGAAGAAATTCATGTAACAAACATGTAAAGACATACTACCTACTGAGATCAATGCAGTTTTTACACAGCAGTTGGAAAGCTGCACATAGCTGGCAGAAGAACAGATGGGATTTAGGAGAAATAGAAGGAGCACAGATGCAATCTTCACACTTAAACAGTTAATAGAAAAGAACATTGAATACAATAAGAACTTATTTGTGGCATTCGTAGACCAGGAGAAGGCATTTGACAGAGTCGACAGACAATTACTATGGAAAATAATGGCAAGATATGGAGTAAGCGAACACATCGAAGTGTGCAAAAGTTTATACAGGGATTGTAGAAGTGTAGTTAGAATAAATCAGGGAACATCTCATCCTTTCACAGTGACATCTGGAGTGAGACAGGGGTGTGTCTTATCACCAATACTGTTTATCACCTACATCAACAGTATATGCAAGAATGCCAAGCCCATGAATGAAGATCTTAGTAAGATCAACGAATCACTCTTTGCAGATAACCAGGCCTTGATAGCAGATACAGCCATGAAATTGCAACAACATCTAACATCCATGAATGAAGAATGTAAAACAAATAATATGAGAATCAACACTGAAAAGACAGAAGTAATGTCAATAGGAAAAAAGAAGACAGATCTAAACATAACAATAGAATACAAAGGCATTAAACAGGCATCTGAGTTTAAATATCTGGGAACTACATTTACCGAAGATGGGAAATTGGATAAAGAAATTGACATTAGATGCAGTAAAGCAAACCAAGTATTGGGACAGCTAGCCCCCCTCTTACAGCATAAGACAATCCCAATCAGCACAAAGAGACATCTTATTCAAAGCATATTTATTCCAACTCTGTGCTACCAGTGCCAGACATGGTCACTCACAACAAACCATAAAAGAAAATTAGTAACCACGGAAATGAGATGTCTGAGAAGGGCTGTAGGAGTGACCATAAGAGATAAGATCAGGAATGAGATCATAAGAGAACAAGTCGGCACAGAACCAATTCTGGATTACAAAGACAGCAAGTGAAATGGTTTGCCCACTTAAGAGAGAATGCCTTGTGACACCATACCATACAAAGCATTCATGGAAAGAGAAGAAGGACATAGAGCACGGGGTAGACCAAGAACAAGATGGAAGGATAACATCAGAGAAACTCTACAACAGCACGATGTGCCTATGGTCGAGGCAGCCAGAAGAGCTAGAAACAGAACCTTATATCTCCCTCGACACCCACAGCGGTAAAAGAGGAAGTGAAGAAGGAGTGTATCTGCCAAGAGGCAAGGAACCAAGAGTCTGCATATAGGCAAGTCAGATCTGTGAAACGGATGTGCGTGCAGCACTCAGGCTCTGGAACAAGACTGCAGTCCAGAAATAGACGAACTGTTAGAACTTTTCTGGTTTGCCCACTTAGAGAGAATGCCTTTTGACACCATACCATACAAAGCATACATGGAAAGAGAAGAAGGACGTAGAGCACAGGGTAGACCAAGAACAAGATGTGCCTATAATCGAGGCAGCCAGAAGAGCTAGAAACAGAACCTTATATCTCCCTCGACACCCACAGCGGTAAAAGAGGAAGTGAAGAAGAGAAGGAGAAGAAGAAGTAAGAAAGCAGGAGGATAACCATGCTAAAATATTTACTAAGTGACAGATGCTGTAGGTACTACCTATCTTGCAAAGCAAGTTCACAAAACATGACCGGTTCAGAACAAGAACATTAAACATGTGACTGGGGGCGACAAAGGACCTCTTGCCAACTGCCACAGACAGACATGCTCTAGAAGCACAAAGGGGAAGAACACGCAAAATATGGAATAAATTCATCAAAAAAAAACACTTTAAAAAATGAAGCCAACTGATAGAGAACGTTGATCCTCACATATCCCCCTCCCCAATACTTCACTGAAATAACCAGAGGAAGAGGAAAAGAAGTTTACAAATTCAAAAGATTAAGGTCAAGTCAATATAATTGCACTTTGGTTTATCGTATATGGCTCTGTCTTTCTCCTCAGAAGTGCTGGCCACCAACCAAGAACACTGCACAAAGCATGAACTCCCACCCCAGCACTGAACCGCAGGAATTAATAGCGCATCTGTGAAACAAACCCTGGAACTTCAGTGTTGAAGGCTTGACCACTGTGCCACGGGGCACCCAAAGAAAAGACACAGAGAGCCAAACATCAAGAGTCTACCTGCTGAGCCAGCTCCCTGGTGGGTGCCAGCACAAGAGCCTGGGTGTTGTTATTGCTCAGGTCCAGCTTCTCAAGTATAGCAATGGAGAAGGTAGCTGTCTTCCCGGTGCCTGACTGGGCTTGAGCTATCACATCACGTCCTGGTGACCACAAGTAAACATGTACACAAAGTTTCAACAACAACAAAAAAAGAAATATAAGTATCTAGAGGGTATATGGATTCACAAATAAATGTAATCTTCTTCTCAAAATCCATGCCGTGTCTATCCCCAACCTTCTGTCTCGTGTACTTTCAATCACCTCTGACACAGATGATCATGCCATGATGTCAAACTGTCCAGCATCTTCTCTCTCAGTTTCCCTCTTCTCCCCTCCAACTTTCATACGATGTACTCCAGTTTTCTCCTTATCACATGACCAAAGAATATAGATTGTCTATTTCTGATGTGGGCAATCAGTTCTCTTCATGAGACACTTTCTTTCAAGACATCTTTATTACTTCTTTTATCTATCTAGGGTGCCCGTCTCTCTAGCGTAATTGGCTAAACCGGATTGCGCGGTGAGCGGGTGACGAACTCCTTGTGGTCCGGGGGTGGGCAGAAAAGCCACATTTTCTCCCAGATTTACGGTATTTAAAATGGAATCAAGGCCGAAAGGTTGCGATATCCATAATACTAAGCCTAAGGGTTAATAACTCATGGCTTCTGGATACTAAAACAAACAAACAATCTATCTAGTGTATTCTCATAATTCGTCTATAAAACCACATCTTCGCAGCTTCCAAAAAGGTTTTCACTAATTCACTGTCAATAATTCACTTCTGTATATCAATATAGGATTTATACAGCTTTTAAGATTTATCTTTTTCATCTCAATTGACAAAGAAAGATTGCTTCTGTTATCAGCCTCCAGAAATGTAAACCCACAAAAATGTGCCGTCTCCACAATGGAGTCTGACTGCAATGTGTTCACTGCCAACTGTGTCTTGTAAACTGCCCATCACAGGAATCAAACCCTAATGAATGTTGAGTGAGGAGGATTGCACTAACCTCAAAGCCACAGAGCTACACTCAAGCAATGCACAAAGTAAACATCCCTGTTCCTTTATACTGTTGCCTAATGTGTTCCTTCCCTTTACATTTGGTCAGAGAATACTCTAGAAATCTGGCTTTCTGTGGCCACATCCATCGTTTGTCTCTAGTGTTACATGCTGCTTGATCTGTTGTTGGTGTCTTCAATACATTTGTCTTTTTATAAATAATTTGTAGTCCAACGTTTTATGTTATGTTTGTTAAATCGTCTGCTTTTTTCTCATGCTGTTCTTATTTAGCAGAACAATATCATCTGCAAAACCAATTTTTTTCAACTGTTATTGTGTGTTCTCCAGCTAATCAATGCTGGTGTTTCCAACATGTTTTTAATCACCAGGTCAACAACTTTAGTTTTTGTCCTGGCCATAATAATATCTGTTTCATTACTTAATTAATTGACTGTGAATGTATGTACGGGAGTTACTGCCATAATAAAACTGGTGTACAGGTAGACGAAAATAAATATATAAAAACATTTAGTAACTCCTTTTCTTACCTGCAATGCATGGTAGAATGGCTCGCTGCTGAATTGCAGATGGTTTTTCAAAACCATATGCGTAGATGCCTCGGAGGAGGTCCTCCCTAAGGTTCATGTCATCGAAAGCATCCACAACCCCATCGTAGTTGCTCTGTTAAACAAGGAATCACATTTTAATCACCTTGTTTACCTCCAGTGAGGAGGACACCAAACTTCTTGGCTGGTAATAAGCGTGTAACTTTCCACTCAAACCATTCAAAGAATGATACCCATTCTGTCAATATCTTAATTATACAATGCAAAAACAATATAGGGCCATCGAGGATGACTGCCAGAATTTTAAATTGTTCTTATATAGAAGTATTTAATGGATATACATGAGTGGCATTTTAAAAGCATACCATGAAATGGTTAACCATAAAGGCACAGTGGGTTCCTTGCTATTGAATGAGCCAATGCAAATAACTATTAGAATGTTTAATTAACTCTTTGAGTCCCAGCCAGGACAACAAATTTCTGCAGAAGCTAGATGTACTAGCTGGAAGACACAAATATCGCAGCCATGCAGTAAACGGGCACAACGCATTTATGTCTTTGAATGAAGGAAGGAGAAGAAGAAATGCATTAGATGGGTATAGGCCTGGCACTTTAAGCTAAAGATCTCGAGGTTAGTATGTACACTAGGCTGCTGTATGTACACTAGGCTGCTGTATGTACACTAGGCTGCTGTATGTACACTAGGCTGCTGTATGTACACTAGGCTGCTGTATGTACACTAGACTTGTATGCTGACATTTACGGTAAGTTATAAACAATCACCTCAATGATACCATCAGCTTCGGGGATGTACTCCTCACTTGGTCCCTTGGTTTGAGACCTAAAAAACAAGCAGAATGAACTGAAAGCTTGGCTAATAAAATTTAAACAATAAAAGATTTGCTGCCTGGCTAATAAACTGTATAAAGCAAACATATTTCAGTAATACATCTCTACCATGCATCTAATGCAAATCTACTTGGCAGGTAATTAACCTGAATTATTGATCAATCAATTACCTGTTAACAGTTTCAATCAATCATATTCTGCTGTGTATACCTATATTTAAAAAAGGTGATAACAGACAATGTGAAAACTACAGAGGCATATCCCTCCTCAGCGTTCCCGGTAAAAGTTACTCTAGAATTCTTGAGCAGAGACTTAGAAGTCTGGTAGAGCCACAGCTGGACGAGGCCCAATGCGGCTTCAGAGCAAACCGAAGTACTCAAGACCTTATCTTCACACTGAGACAGATGAGTGAAAAAGCCCTGGAATATAAGAGTGAGATGCACTTATGTTTTTTGGATCTGGAAAAGGCATTTGACAAGGTACCCTGGAACAAGCTCTGGGACTGCTTGGCAGAGAAAAACATCCAAGCACCCCTGATCAGTGCAATACAGAGTTTCTACAAAAAGTGCAGAAATTATGTAAGAACAGCAGACCAAAAGTCAGAAGAATACAGGACTGCCAGCGGTGTTAGACAAGGTGATATTCTCTCACCTTACCTCTTCATTCTTATGATGGATGATGTCATCAAGACCTGTAAGGAGAAGACAAAGAAGTACTCTGTAGGGTACTGGAAGATGAGACCAATCTGTATATCAGAGCTGGCTTTTGCAGACGATGTGGCCCTGATAGCTAAATCAGAGGCACACCTTCAGTCCAACTTACTTGTCTGGAAGGAAGAGCTTGAAAAGAAAGGGATGACCATCAGTGTCTCCAAAACTAAAACCATGGTGATCTCAAGAGAGGAGAAGAAACACCAGATCATGATGGGACAGTATGCGTTGGAGCAGGTTAACCAGTTCAAATACCTTGGAATTGTATTAGACCAAAATGGAGGCATTAAGACTGAGCTGGCTACACGAAAAGCAGCTGCTGGGAGACTCTTCCAGGCCATAAACCGAGGTTTCTTAGCAAAAGAGAAATTGGCAAGAGGGACGAAAATGGCTGTTTACCGCTCTACCTATGTACCAGTCCTGACCTATGGGTGTGAGTCATGGGCAATGACAACAGCTCACAGAAGCCAGCTGCAGGCCTCAGAAATGAGATACCTGAGAAAGGTGGTCCAAGTGACAAGAAGGGACAAAGTCCGCAATCAGACAATACGTCAAGATCTTGATACCCAGCCCTTAGTAACCCGAGTAGATCAGTCACAGTTACGATGGTTTGGACATGTATGCAGAATGGGAGAAAATCGGCCACCATGGCAAGCATGGGAGGCTAAGAACCAGGGAACCAGACCTCCGGGACGACCCAGGGTGCGCTGGGAAGACAACATCTGACAGTCCCTAACTGACAGAGGACTGGAATGGAACAAAGCCAGAAAGAAAACTGCTGATAGAGATGTCTGGCGATCTCTCTGGCAAACCTCTACACCCCAAGGTAGAAGAGGAGCGACTAAGTAAAGTAAAAGTATATTCTGCTGTGGTGGAATGGAAAAGAGGCAGAGGGAGACCAAGAAAGAAGTAGTTGGACCGTTTAGCACTGACATGAAAAATTTACCTTATCAAAAATGATTAGTAATGTATGAGAGAAACTAAAAATCTAAACATTTTAAAGTATTATACGACATGTAATGGCTTAAGAAGTCGGCTCTGTGGCTAAGTCGATGCGAACGCTTCGCTTCGTAATGTCGGGATGCCAGGTTCGATCCCAGCTGCGGGCAATGCCCCTTACGTTGGTTTCGACAGTGGTATCTAAGAAAGCCGACCGTCCAGAAAGCAATGACAAACTACTGGATGTAAAATGCCTAGAGAAACCACACAACAGCCAGGGGCTGTTAGGGTTGGTTCTGCAACGTCCTGTAAAGGATATGCAACTAACAATGGTTTAAGAAATTCTTTTAAAGAAACAGATTATTTACAAAGAGAGTCTGAATCAGGTATTAATATATGATGCCTGTATTACTGAACACTAGAGAATCATGGACATAATCGAAGACACGGAAATGGTCGGTGAAAACTAGGGCTTTCTTTCAGGTCTTTCTGTGAAACACCCAGTAGTTAACATATGATTGGTTGTCCACTCTGTTGTTCTTTGAAATGTATGATCCAAGGTTTACTGAGCTTGATGTTGGCTACGTTACACAGTAGAGCAGACTAAAGTTGAACTCTAATAAGACAAACTTTGCTTAAGTCGACATGATCAGCTAAGTCCTGACCATGTCTCCTCTTTTTATCTTTGTATAAAAAATCCTGATCAAGCTGATACTCAGTTATTTAGATTAGTTGATTCTAAAAATGTAAACAGACTATATAAGCGCTAAAGAGTGCTAAAATGTTAGACAGAACATGTTCTGCAGTATATGGCAGTGAAACTTGGGATGTCAGTGAACACATTAAGAAGAATTTGGAAGCAACAGAGATGTGGTTTCTGAGACATATGTTGTGAATACATTCGAGGGCCAGAGTAACTATCAATGATTGAAAGAAGCTAATGAAAGTAGATCTCTATACACAACAATGAGAAGGAGACAAACACTGTTCTTTAGCCACGTGAGAAGAGAGGCATTGGAAAACATTGTGACAACTGGAAAGATGGGTAGAGGCAGACCAAGACAGATGATGCTGGATGGGCTGAAACGATGACATAGAGGGATATCATCTATTATTAAGAGAGCTGTTCCAGGCAAGAAGCGATCATGATCTGTGGAGATGCATGAGCGCCTATGCCAAGCGGCAGTGCACATGATGATCGTGATATAAGCGCTGATGTTTAAGTTGAACAGTCCATTATCTCGTGCCAGGTATTTATAATATGAATCAGAAGCGTGGGTACAAAGCGAGCTTTATAAGAAACTGAACTATTGCAGACCGTGAATAAACAATGACAGCCCTGCACGGGACAGGAGCAGTTGCCTCATGTATAGATGATTCAAGGTTCCTGGCTGAAGGACGTAGGGAATGGAAAAACAAACCTATTTTTTTTGGCGCACCTCATGTCTAGTGAGGTCTGGTGATCAGCTTTCCAACTGGTCAAATAATCTTCCCTCGTTTACCCTTCTCATGGCCTCCCAACCCCCTTATCCGAACTCTGTTGTCTTGCTCTCCTCCCTCCTGCCCCTCTGTCTCTTCTTCCTGTTTCTGCTTTCATTTAATATCTTCCTTTTCCCCCTCTGACTTTCTTATGCTCTTCTCTCCCTCATTCTTCTACTTCATTTCCTTTTCCTTTTCTCTGGTTAACTAAATTTACTGTCCCATAAATGTCTTTTTCCCTGTAGTTGATGGGAGGGTGATTAAACATGAGACTTGTGTGGTTTGCTGTAATTTTTTCTTTGGATATTCAGTTCACCCCCCCCCCCCCCCACCAACCCCGATGTGTTGTTACATTTGTTAACACCCTTTGAGTTTAAACTGACAGTAGGTGTTTTAAAAATGTCTACATTTCTGATAATGAATTGCTATTTATTTGTTAACTTAGGGTGTTTCCTAACTGATACAATTGTTTTACTCAATGCTATTGCATGCTATTAGTATACTCTCTCTACTATGTGTGCTATCTGTTTAAGTAGAATTCCTGATAAATGGAACAATTTCCGTAAGTCCCTTTGACTCATCAAGACTACACTGTACATTGAGCACTGATTGTTCGATATAAAACATGTTGGGCAAGCACCATAAGTCTGAGGCCTCTCAAAGCATAACAATGATCGTTACCAATGGGAATTTTTGTGTCCAAAGTTGTCAAATGTGTATACTGCTCTATACATTCTTCAGGATTTAACCATTAAGGAGAGCTGCTCATAGTATCTACCGTTTCTTTATTACTAAGTCTATCCTATTCTACCCTGGGGTGTACAAAGGCTGGCCAGAGATTGCCAGACTTTTATCAGCAGTTTTCTTTATGGTTTTATTCTGTTAGAGTCCTCTGTCAGTCAGGGACTGTTGGATGTTATCTTCCCAGTAAAGTCCTGATTGCCTAGAACTTGGCTTCAAACCTGTTACGTGCCATGCTACACCTAAGCCTTTTAAAAATTGCCATGCCCCCCTAAGTAACTGAAACTCTGGACAAGTCCATTTTTAAACTTCCCCCTTAACGATCAAATGTCACACCCCACCCCCCCTGTTGGACGTGGACCTCAAGTTAGGAAATGCGGATGTCACTGCAGTTCAGAGTGACTTTTCGGCTTGCTGTGATAAAGGCTGGCCTTCTGCTAAGGAGCTGCTACATGATGATAACACTGCTCTTTGCACAAAATCAAGACACTGAACAGAGAGATAAGAAAAATTAACTACAACCTGATAAGATCTAGTGACTTCATAAATCTTAAGAACCACTTTAAGTTTAAGTCCAACGCTAATTACACACTGCCGAGGCCAAATTACAGTATCCATAAAAGCGTGTAACAGATGTCATCATATTGATAACAGTCGGGAGATACAAAAAATAAATAAAATGGCTGAAAAATGAAGATGCTTGAGACAAAGAGAGCTCCTAGAAAACACACTTTCATAAATTACAGCCTCGAAGTGCTGTAGCCAACGTGAGTAAATGGAAATGTCCTGGGAAGTAAAAGTGACACTTGTTGACTATACTGCCTATCAAGTGCTGACTGACCAAAGAAAATACCGGTATAGCACAATATTTCCTAAATGGCATGTGTGAAAAAAGTAATTTGTATTAATTATTCTTGTTGGCATGCACACTAACTACCTGTGAGAAATGAAGATTGACAAACTACTGAAACAATACCCACAAATTCAATTAGAAAACACTGAAATGGTTCAGCCACCTGACGAGATTGAATCCAATGATGCCAGCAGTGACGGAATATGGACAAAATGGAAATACCAAGAGTCAGAGGGAGACCTAGAATAACATGGACTGAAGAATTCACCGAACAGATTAAGCTTAAGACCATAGGTAGTTGACAGATTATCTCAAACCATTAATTCCGTAAGCGCTCGCAACTAATCCTTAGTAAATCCTGTAGTGTGTAGCAGCTCAGGACACCAGTGCTGTGTTGGTTTATTATTATTCTTTAGCATCTTGCATTGTGCTCTTGTCTGGCCACACCCCTTTTAACATGTTCTTTGCAGTCTGGTCATGGTTGCAGATTCACGGTCATCACTTGGTTCTCATAAATGTCTTACTTCTTGTAGAGCTTTCAAAATATCAGCATGGTCTATGGTCTGTTCACCCTCCACAGTAGCTTTACCCGCCAGCCGAATCAGCTTGCTCATTCCCTTGCGCAAATGCAGGCCATGGCACAAATATGAAACTGATATGTTAGTCCCGACCGCTTTAAAGACTCCAACCAATGTCTTCGGATCCAGCCCTTCTCCATCTTCATGATCATACTTAATCTTAAGACCATACAATGCCACATACGGATGTAAGTCGTGGACTATCTCCCAGTCCTTAAGAAAGAGAATAGGGGATTCTGAGCTGAAATGCTATAGAAGGATGCTATCTTGGACGAAAAAGAGGAGAAATACTGACATCTTGAAAGATATAAACATCAAGGAAGATTGGCTAATAAAACAGCATCCTGTCTCCGAAGCTGAAATATTTTGGTCATATCAAGCGCCACAAAGGATTGTAAAAAATTATAGCACAAGGCATGGTACCAGGAAGAAGAGGGACACAGGATATAAGTGACTCCTTGAGTATGAAAGTGCATGAGGCGGGAGAGCTGGCGAGAGACCGAGTTTCTTTCAGGCAGACCGAGATAACAGCGACGTTCTGAAAAATACCTAAATGATGATGATACAATCCCACAGAGATTAATATGGCGTGTTTCCTTTTAAACTAGAGTCCATTGCTGAGAGGCAAGGAAATGACAATCTGCATAAGATACAAATAAGCCAGATGTGTCAAATGAAAAATAAATGGATGTACATGTAAAACTTCAAGTTCTGGATCAAGAAGTGGACAACAACCAGAACTTTCCAACAGTTTACAGCCAGTGAATGCTAAGGAAAAAAAACACACATTACTAATTCAGAAGTAAGAGGTTAATATAAAATCTGTCACTCTATGGTAGACTGTAGGAAGCAGCCATGGTGTAGCATTAGATGCTCATGTGAGGATTCAATGGTGTGGTTCAAATCCAATGAAGCTGGAATTTCTCGGTTTCCAAAAGACCTTGGCTTTCAGGTCAACTCAGTTTTAAATGGGTACCGGGCACAGTGCTAGGAAGTAAAGGTGGCTGGTATAATAGTAATCGCATCATCCACATATCAGCGATTGGTCTATAAAATATAGGTCTGCTATCTTTCAAAAAACGGTCCCAAATTATCGAGGCCGAAAATATCCCACACAATGCTACGCGCGGAGTGGAGCTAAACTAGATGACTGGGACTCACAAGCAGCAGCTACTGCATCTTCTGCAGCTTCCTTCATTTTATTTGCTTGCGAGTCCCAGCCATCTATAGTTTAGCCCCAATTCACGCCACACGTAGCGGCGTGGGAGATACTCTCGGCGGTGGCAGAAGTCTGCAAATGACTGAGGTCCTGTTAGGGTATATTTTCAGCCTCGATAATTTGGGACCGTTATTTGGAAGATAGCCTACAGGTCTATTCCTGTACGCAGAAAAGCGTACAAAAAAGGTACTTTATAGTAGAAGACTG